GCTTCAACACTGAAATTGTTTGCGCAATTTCGGGAAAAAATTTAGTCCAGCTCCCGTTGTCATCAGAATTATTATGAACACAAACATGATACATTTTTTATTTATCATTAAATACGTTTATTCCGCAATTCTTCGTTCCGTTTTTTTATTATTATCATTATTATTATTGAATGCTCTGAATGGGTATTTAAAGGAAAGACGAGGGAAAATTTTTAGCCCCGGGATCTCTTGTAATAAATCCAACTTAAGATTATTTTTCCGAGTAGCTCTATTATTCAAGAGTAAAATCTTGACGAAAAGAATGAATGATTAAGGAAGAGAAGGGAAGGAGGGAGGAAGAAGAGAGGAAGAAGCCTGGAAGAGAAGGGAGGAAGTGGAGGAAGAAGGGAGGAGGAGGTGGAGGAAGAAGGGAGGAAGTGGAGGAAGAAAGGGGAGGAGGTGGGAAGAAGTGAGGAGGAGGTGGAGGAAGAAGGGAGGATGTGGAGGCAAGAAAGAAGGAGGAAGTGGAGGAAGAAGAGGGAAGAGGTGGAATAAGAGGATGGAGTGATGGAAGATGATGATGACGATGAAGTGAAGAGGAGGTGGAAGAAAGAAGAGTGATGGAGGAAAAGAGGAAACAGAAGAAAAGGATATGAGAGAAGAGGGAATGTAGGGACGATTGCTGGAAGAAAAAGAGAGGAGGAGGAAGTGGAGAAGAGGAGGAGGATGATAAAGAAGTGGGAGAAAAAAAGAGAAATATGAAGAAAAAAACGAATGAGGAAAAAGAGAGGTGGATCAAAAAGAAGACAGAGAGGATGAGGAAAAAGACAAAAAGGAGAAAGAACAAGAGGAAAGGGAAGACAAGAAGGAGAGAAGAAGAGAAAAAAGAACAGAAGAAAGCGGAAGACGACGACCATGAAGACGACAGAGAACCCCACCCCCCTTCCCCCCCCCCCCTCCCCCACCCCCGTCCAGAAGGGGAAAGAAGGAGGAGTCGGGCTTTGAATTACAAAGGGGAGAGGCAGGGCGGCGAGGGGAGTGGGTGGCGGGCCCGGCGGATCCACCTTCGCCTCCGCCGCCGCCGCCCGCCACATCCTGATTGTGATTGGTGGGGCGGATTAGGAAGGATTGGAGTCACGTGATACTGTCGATGTAAACCTTGACGATGCGGTTTGGGGGAAGGGAGGGGAGGCGGGAGGGGGGAAGGGTATGGGTGGGGGAGGGGGAGGGGAGGGAGGGGTGGAAGGGTATGGGAGGGGGGGGAGGGAGGGGGTGAAGGTGGGAGAGGGAGGAGGGGGGGAAGGGCAGGGAAGGAGGAGGGAGGGGTAGAGAAGAAGGGGGAGGAGGGGAGGGAGGAGAAAGGAGGGATATGGAAGGGGTAGGAGGAGGAGGGAAGGGAGGGTTAGGAGGGGAGAGGGAGGGCGGAAGGATGGGGAGAGGAAGGGAGGGGAGAGGAGGAGGAAAGGAGGGAAGGTAGGGGAAGGAGATCAGAAGATGGGAGGGAGAGGACAAGGAGAGGAATTGGAGAGGGGAGAGGGAGGGAAGGAGGGGAGAGGAGGGGAGGGTGTGGGATTTCGGGAAGGTGATTGTCACTCTAGAGGTTGCGAGGTGATCGAGTTACGAAATCACTCGTCGCTGGAGCCTTGATTGCTTATTCTCAAGCAGTGAATATGGTGTACTGGCGTGTATGCAGGCGTGCGGTATATATATATCTATTTGTGCGGAAATTGGCATATATACATATATATTATGTTATATTAATATTTAATTGTCATCATAATGCTCATCAGTTAATCAATTTTACCATAATTATATCAAATTATTAAAATAATCGTCCTCAGCCTTATACAGCGTAAACCCAATTTCCCGCCAAAACAAAGAGGTTCGAACCCGACAATAAATTCCACAAGAAATGACAAAACAGCCTCGGATTCCCACCCAAACAGTTTCCAGTCTTACATATCACAGAAGACAAAGGGGATTGCCGTATTTGTTTAGTGTCAAGTTGATGGCATTCAGCTGTTGAGTGGGCGAGGAGGGTTGGAATAGGTTTGATGGAATGAGATAGATTGATATTGGCTCTGCGTGGTTCGGTTGCAGTGTCGGGCTTCGGAAATTGTTTGTTGATACATTCATTATGCATTCAGTTATGGTTTCAATTACGTCATTTATTCAATATTATTTTCATGCATTTTTTTTTTTTCTTTTTTTTTTATCTACTTATTATTATTTTCATCAATCTATTATTGTTTATATTTATTATTATTTCCATTAATCTATTATTGTTTACATTTATTATTATTTTCATTAATCTATTGTTGTTTATATTTATGTATCATTATTTTCATTAATCTAGTATTGTTTATATTTATGTATCATTATTTTCATTCAACTATTTGTTCATTTCTGTTCATTTTATATATTCATTTTGGGAGGCAGGATATATTTTGACCTTTGCAAGTGTTCGATATGCTTGACGATAATATATGATTTATTGGTATGTTTTTTTCGTGTTTTCTTTTATTTTTTTCTAGGGATGTTTGGGTTTATATGGAGGAAGGGAGTACGACAAGTATGATTTTTACATACAGTATTTTATATACATTCCTCTCTCATTCCTTTACTTCTTTTTTTCGTTTTGGCCTTCCCTTTCCCCCTCCTTCCTTCCACGTGTACATCCTAAATATGCCATCCTTTCTAGTTCCATTTATGAAAAAAAAACCTTGTTAATGGGTTTGCCAGTTGTAATCTGTCACTGAAAATGACATAATTGAGAAAAAAAATATTCCCCTTCTTATTTCGGGTTTATCCAAGATCTAAATCCTGTTCCCTAGCTAAAAAAATCCTTGCTTCGTTCTCCGTGCCTCTTGTTTCTCAGATATTCCTTTTACTTTTGAATTTCTATCTTTTTATATCTTCTTGAGTTTTTTTAGTTGGTCGTGTTTGCGATGTATGTATAATAAAAGTTGCCAGTGGAGGGATTTTTTCCCCTCGAGAAGTCACTGGTACATTCGAGACTTTCTTTCTCGTACTTGAGATCAAAGGTCTTAAACATCGTACTTTAGAAAGGGGTAGTGAAAAAGAGAAGGGGAAGGGAGGGGGGTTAGTTGGTGACTATATATGCTACATGTCATAGAGCAGTTCAGGATAGTGTGTATTGAAAGGGGTGAGGGCGCAGAGTGAGTGTAAATGGGTTAAGGTAGGGATTAAAGGTGATCTGATCCAAAGGAAAAGGTGTTGGATTCTGCAAGGATGTCCGTAGGATAAGGAAAGGATTAGCAAAAGAGGAAAGGGGGGTTTAAAAGCGATTAGATCAGAGAACAAAGGAGAAATGTCAGGAGAGAGAGAATCCAGGGAAGTGGGTTATAACAGAGTCACATGTGTATCCTGGAGAAAGCGGAAGGGAATAACAGCGAAGGAAGAGGATGATGTAGATGAAGCAAGAAGGATTATGTGTTAGGAGGGAGTGGGAGGAACTTTGAGGGAATAGGAGCAGAGATTGGAGGATGGATGAGAAACAGACATGTTATCCTGGTACATGATTCGAGAGTTTTGAATGCCCTCGAGAGTTTCTGAAGTGGCGTTGGTTGGGAGGTCTGAGAAACAGGTTTTCTTATGAGGAGGAGAAGGGACAGTTTGAGGGCCGGAGGTAGATTGATGGAGAGGATAAGGTTGATGGGGTGGAACGTTTAGCTTGTCTTACGCGATGAGTTTTGCGAGGAGGAGGAGGAGTACGTGTCGGAAAAAGTAGAAATTGGGGTGTCTGGATTTCGAATTGTGGTAGAGATTGGGGTGTCTAGATTCAGAATCGCAAAAGAATCTGACTGGAAGAGGGAGAAGGAAGGGGTAGAAGAAGTGGGGTGAAGAGATACCGGGGAGGAAGGGGAAGGGGCGGAGCGGAGGACAGATTTGGTGTTGGGAGTAAGAGTAAAACCTCAATTGTGAATTGCCATCGAAGCAATAAATGTAAGTATTTCAGGAAACATTGGAATTTTTTAACTTGTTCTTTTATTACATCTAATGTCTTTAATGTTGCTTTATCTTTCATCAATAATGGAATGTCAGCAAGGAGTATTACTGCATATAATATTGTTACGTATACAAAAGTTCTTGGTGAAAATGCGAGGGTCGGGGCTTGAGGGTAGTAATATTCATAGAGCCCAGGAAATGTACTGGGGAGTCAACAACTATTTTGTCTGAATGTTGGGCTGTATTTACGGCATTCTAGTGATCATCGATGTTTCCTTTCTCGCGATCTCTAATGAACAATTAATGAATGAAAAAAAGATTAATAGTTCAGTTTTACATCATATTCGAACAACAAATACATTTATCTGTATTGTTCTCACTCTGTTAATTAAAAATACATCTGTAAAATTTCGATCTTTTTTCTTGCAGTACCACAATCTTCGCCATTCAGGTTCATCGCATAAAAGGAGATATAATTATCCCAAACTCTACCTTCTTGAATGCACTTTTTAAACCAGCGTTCCACAGTAAGTGTCACCCTACACTTGACCTGTGGCACTGAAGATGACATATTACAGCTAAAAACAATTATGACTGCCTTAGACTGGATTTGCGAAGCCTTACGTATGGAAAGGGTCTCTAGAAGGGCTTCCATATTTTTCAGCGACCCTCTGGTGTCTTGTTTCATGACATTTCCGCACTGAATGACCACAACTAGTATTGTGAAATGAAAAGAAAATTGTGTACTTTCTTGGAGTAAATTTTACCAGCATTTTTTCCATGTTAAGCTTTGTATAACAAACTGCAAATCAATAATTACATTTGGTTGTATTGTCTCATCTTCTATTCATGTATTTTGCACAATACAATGACATAAAAATATTACTACTAATATCGTTCCAGAGTAGACTTACAATTCAGAGCAACATATCATATCATTCTTGAGGTTGATTTGTCTACAAACTTCATACAAGTTTAAAAGACAGTGATGTATTCTAAAGCTAATAAATGCGCAAAAGTCAAAAGGTGAGAGGGGATACTAAAACAAAATAGATGCTGAATATTTGTATTTGGAAGCTTGAGAACATGTCATTTTTTTCATTTTTGTTTACTGACTGACACCCTAAGCGCAGCACTTCATGAGCATTGGTGCCTGGCCAGAGTACCTAATAACTGACAGTATTCATAAAGAACTGAATATCCAGACATGTTTGTGACTTGCTCTTTTTTCCCTTTAGCAGCTAAAGGACAAAAAAATGGTCAGTACAATTTGAGAACATCCACAAAACTAGGGGGTATGATGACATTTACTAAAAAATTACATAAACAACCTCACTAGGAAAGTATAATGGATGTAGTGTGTTCTACCTAAACATATTCCAATTCTATATGAACTCGGCCAGTTTGCGGTAGCCTCTGTGTGCTTGGCTTTGTTTGTACATGTGATTCATATAAAATTGAATATTATATATATATATTTATATATTTATATATATATGACACCTACAAAAAATGTGCTAAGTGGGACACAAAATTGTGACTTGTATAACAGATTTCAAGAACATTTTTTGTTACCATAGAAACTTTTACTTCAAGAACTGAAGTACAAAGCATGAAGAAAACTCAGGAAGGGGAATCATGTATAAAGCGTGTTAGGCTTAACATGTAATTAACATCCTTTTAAAATCAACGAAACAAGAACTACAATAGTTAACATGATCTCATATCAAACAAACATAAATATCTAAGAGTAAATTCCCTACATGTACTAGTGAATAATGGCAGTATACAACTCGGTCTTTATACACAGTCGGTCTCAGTTGACGGGTAGTCAGCCTATGTACATGAGGTTTCCGACAAGTTTTTCTGTACATGACTTTCATCAGAGGTCTGGGGTGGTCGGCGAATAAAAACACCGGACTGGTGACTAGGGGGGGGCCTTAGTAAAAAGGTCAGACCTGTGTCAGGGAATTTGGCAGCTGCGGTATATACACAATTCATTCTTTCTTCCCTTCTCGATGACACAAATGTTATTTCTTTTGAGCCTGACGAAGCACGCACTCACAAAAAAGACATTCTTCACAATTTTTCGGCATCTTTTTTCACGCATAGTTGGAGAAATTTGCCACAAGTAGGATATCTTCACACTTTATAGCATTGGGCACACCACAAACTAGTGTCTGTGCTTGTTTCAACACTTTCAACCTTTGTTTCAACATGATAATCTGGAAGTATAATAACTACCCTGTTTATAATTACTCTTTTCCTTTAGTTAAAATTTTAGTTTCCCAAAGATTTATTAATAAAACAATGGTGTAACCAATATGCTAAAAAGCAATAAAGATTCGAAGATTAGTTGTAAATGATAAGGAAAAAAATTATACACTGGTACAATAATGATAACCACTTCTTATCACAGATAAATAACAGGTACAACAACATATTGGCTACACCTCACATTTACTTTTTTAACAAAACATATTCCTAAACAATTTTTAAAACTGTCTTTATAAAATAGTCAAATAAGGAAAGAACATAGAGTTTAGTATTCCATTAAAAAAAAGATAACAAAGTTTACCTATTTGAAAGAACATACAGTTTAGTATTCCATTTAATTCTTAGAGACAGTGCCCCTAAAAAAAAGATAACATAAAATTTACCTCTTTCACTCCAAATTAAGTGTAAAAGTATTCCATACCATGAAATGCTATTTCAAATTAGTGCCAAATGCTTTCTACTCAAAATTTGGTAAGGAAAAAATGAAATTCTAAGCTTCCTTGCTGAAATAATACAAACAATCTGTTAAAAACAATATAACCTTTTCCATGGAAAACATACAAGTACTTTCTTCAGCAACAGTACTGTTAATGGTGTTGTTGAAACTTGACATACACCTTATTTTCTCGTTCGGTTAATCTGGTATACAAGAAAGAAACACTAATCAAGGAGAGACTTGATCATCAATTCTCTAAAAGTTAAAATGTTGGCAGAAGAATTTAAGACTTACAAGCCAATGTCTACAACCAACAGTACAATTTTGTGTGCATATACAAAGACATTTAAGATACAAGGAGGAAAAAGAACCATAGGTTCTATAATATATAGCTTGTGCTTTATTTGATGGTGGCAAAGTCCATCAAAGTTTACCTGATACACTACTGTTGCAGTTTATTTTTCATCCTGTCACTGGTAAAAGTGGCCACAATCTTTCCATATATCCATTCATCTTGAAATCTCGCTAGTTTTGGGGAGTAGTAAATGTAAGGAAAACCTCTGATTACTTGGGGAAAGTTTCTTAATGGGGAAGGAGGGGGCGGGGAATTGTACATCATCTGAGCTGTACAATTGTTCAATAGCACATGATTTTAAACATCAAACTCTTGACTCTCAGTTCCCTGAGGAAGCAGATCCAGCAGAACTTTGCCTTTAGGATGCACAAACAGTCGTGCCTTAAGGATACGCATTTTCTTCACTGGTTTATTAGAGGTGTCAGTATCCCATGTGGCAGTTAGTTACTAATCGTTTAGATGGTGACCATGATTGAGTGAGAGGGTGAAGTATTTATTATCATTATTTTTTAATGGCAATGGGATACATCATCAGGGACAATAACATAACAGCTTCTATCAACAGTTCTGGCATAGCGTCCATAACAAACCAAAAGAACGGTGCTCGATAGACTGCAAGAGTGTCTTTAAGAGGGCGGGTTGAACTCTGTCGTGCCGGTCAAGGCAGAGAGGGTGTCATAGAACGCAGTGATGAAGCCCAAGATCAAGATGCACAGCGGCACCATGGATAGCGCCACAGCCTGTGGAAATTCACCATTTGTTTTATTAGTTACCTAAATAAATGTATATTCTATACAATACAATATTGTCATTTAGCTGGAAACGTGTCTCTAAATAAAGTTATTTCTTTCCTCTCACAAAATGCATGTACATATATTTAAAATCACACATTAATTTTCATAATTATTGAGAATTATGTCCACTTCATGAACAGGTTTACCTGAAATCAAACACCTTAATTTTGTAAATCTTGTAATCATTACTCAAGAAAGCTCTTTGGTTAATTTTAGTAGCAGCAATAATTTTAAAATGCGTAATGTTTAATGTTTTAAAAATAAATGTGCTCGACATCAACAGTCATAGAGCACTATAGTAAAGTACTGTGATAAAGGGGGCTAAGCTTAAATTTTAAAGGGAAACCCGAATCACATAGTAATTAATGCCACCATCAATGGATCAATATTGTCCCAGATTGGGATATCCAGCAGGCTAAATACTTAATTTCATTTTAACTCCTAAGATCCAGATGATGAGACCATGACTTCTTGAAAACATTTGGATTGAACATGTCTTCACAGAAGAAGAAGAAGAAGGAATTTTTTTTTTAGCTGAAGGCCAGGGTGACGGGAATGACTCATCGTGAGCTTGCAAAGCTCTTTGAGGGTGATTAGACTTGGTGGGCATTTAGGAAGGAGCTCTTGCAATATTTCCATTGATAAATGAGTGTGGAATGTACTATCCATGAGCCATAACTGGAAGAGTGCCAGCTCCATGGAGGATGCTATCTCTGAGTTTTGGATCCTATTCCTGCCTCCCCTGTCCAGTGGCACAGCCTGTATACAGAAGATTTAAAAATACAAAAAAATAAAAAATGACAATTAACAAAATTTTACTGATAATTTTTGCACTGGGTTATGAACTGCCTTGTAAGATAATATGGAGGCTGTGCAATACCATCTGAAGACAGCAAATCAAATGACAAATAGACATTGGCAAATGGGGGAGGGGGATAGATATTAACATTGCAAAGGGGAGGCAAGGAGTCATGATGCCCATCCTACAAGCCACACGCCATCAGTGGCGCCACTCAAGTAAGCCTAATGGCAAGAATGGCAAGATTTGGGGCCAAATGTGGGCAGCGAAGCAACTGGATCCAAGGAGTTAATACATATGAAAATTAAGCCATTGAAAACAGTAACTGATTTTGAGCCCCTGGAATATGATAACAAATTTTCCGTTTATTCCTGCAGTGCACAAATAAATCTTTTCCCCTAATTATTCTTGTGTGCCGTTCATTCACTTTTCTCCAGTTCTTATCAAAATCTTTTACATACTATGAACATCTTATCATATAATTTATCTGTCACTGAGAAAAGAACTAATATAACAGCAAATTTGCCTAGCAGGAAATGCCAACAAATAACTGAAACTTTCACAACATTGAAAATAATTTCAGTATACTTTTATTACAGTTGCAAACTTACAAACTTGAATAGCTCCAATATCTTGAGATAAATAACAAGCAAAACATGAAAATTGGGGGACTAAGTGCAGATCTACAATAAATTAATGTATTAATAGCAAATTTTCATTAGCAGGAAAATCATAATGCAATTGTCCTCTAATCTTTTGTTTTTGTTTTTTCTAGCAATGCAGATTGAATGAACATAATGTGAGCCATCTGTGTTATAATGATAGGTATTATTAAACACATCAAACTTTTTAATTTACATGATATCAGTTGAACATAAGTTTCATTAAAAAATCAAATCTACTATGAGAATGCTAGCTTCCAAAATGTTCAAAATAAGTTGAATTCGGAACCTGAAACCTGTATAGCAATCACTGACAATCCTATACAATAAAAAATATATTTTTTCTATAAATAGGAAGCAAAGAGAAGATTTTTTTCAGATCTTTGAATTACCTCTATGTAACTGTGTATCAGACGTATTTTTAAGATCTAGGAGTCTCAACTATAAAAATTAAGAGCAGAAAAAAATAAACTACCTGGGATGTAATATAAAAAATGATTAACCTATTAGTACAGTGCAATCACTGCCTGCTTATCAGACGATTTTTAGGAAACCTGAAACCAAGAACTACAAACAAAATATTGATCTTTAAAAATATACATAAATAACTTATAAAACTAAAAAAAAAAAAAAAAAAAAGCAAGGCTGAAGCAATTTAGTACATAATGCATGCTTTATCCATGTGCTGCTGGATAATGGCCAAAAGCACCACCACCTATAGTGACAGCAAAGATTAATTTTAAATTATTAGTCGGATTAATTGTAAAGCAAAAAACAAATGAGAGGGGAAAGTAGAAGACAGGAATGTGGACTAAAGAAAATAAAGAACAAGAAAGATAAATGAAAAAAGAAAGAAAAAAAGATTGGGCTTTTGTACTGGATTGGGACATATCTACCTTTTTGGCGAGGTTATCCCCATCATTATTGTTATTATATTATTATTAATATCAATATGAAGTATTATTACTAACATTATACTGATTTTTCAACTAAAAGGTAAATCTTATAAAATAGTGTATGCCCAGTCACATAAAAGTCTAATGTAAAATCTACTTTCTAAAAATATAATCTCAGGAATGGTCAAAAATGTTTTCATTCGTCTACTGTTACCTATTCACTCTATTCTTACAGCAAACACTTAGTACCAGCTTAATTAGGCCACCATGACAGTCCCAAATATATATATATAATGTTATGGAGGAACATGCATACATAGGAATTCAAAGTGTGTGTACGAAACCCTTTCTTTATTAATCAATCAATTGTGAAAATTCCCATCCATATCAGTGAGCAATTTATGTGAATGTATCCCAGGAGAGCTTGTATATAAAAGGATCACAGCTTTAACCATTCAGTAAAACTATTTAAAAATGTGTGGAAGGGTTAAGTGGTCAAGTTAAGACACAACTGGGAGAGAAAGAATCCTCCGTTCCCCTTCCCTTGTCCCTCTCTTTCTCTCACCCTCTCTCCTCCTCCTCTTTCTCTCCCGGCAGCACCCCAAATGTAATATAACACACACAGTAGTACTATCTGCAACAATTACCTTTTGGTCTGCTTTGTGGTGGGGCCGAGGCAGCAGCAGCCTTATCCCATGGGCCTTCTAAGACCTTTCTGCAGGGCTTTACAATGGCTAATATCACAGGGCTTCTGGGACTGGCTCGTACTTAACGTTCTTTTATCTTATGATTGGCGGTTTTCTTTACATCAAACTTGGATATTGTTTCTTTAGACTAGTCTTTTTTTTCTCTTTTTTTCTTTATGCATTCTTACTTACTGACTAATATGTATTTACATATTTACATTGCATAGATGCAATATAGGGTCATTATGCAATAATATATAACAATCAAATGTATACTAGGCCTATATTCTATCAACATATTCAGGAGCTGTACAATCTAAATACAAAGTTTTTACTATACATAATTTGAGATATCAGAAGAAAAATTGGCACATACATTGTGCAACATATCAACATTTGATTATCCCATAATATCTTTACATCAACATTACTAAATAATCTATAATATGACTCAATGCATATAATATCTGCAACAATATTACAAGGATACTGGGCATATCGTTTTTAACTTTTTTCCTTATTGTCATATATATATATACACATTTTTTACTTCTTTATATATGCATACATTTATACAAGTTTATTATATAATGTTGGGAATTAATTCAGATCCGAGAGCCAGAGCCATCACCATAACTACCATGACCCAGGTTGGGATCGTCTGGGGGGAGAGCAACAAACAACCAAACATAAGAAAACGGTCCACCTTGCCGCAGCATAACTACATCTCGATGAAAGACGCACAGGGACTCGAAGAAAGTCTTATGAGAGAGGAACTTCTAGTAAAGTGGGGTTCTGTGGTTACTCTTCATTATCAATCAACATCATCATATTAAGGCATTCATAGCTATTCACATTGCCAGCTTCAGACTAAAACGCACTGCTATTTTGGAATGTAGGAAAGCCATCTGCACCACACTACTTGTTTAGTAATACCTCTGCTAAGCTACCAACACTGCGATCCCAATGCACCCAATCCGTAGGCAAATGGAAACGCTCTGATTGGCTGATCGGAAGGATTACAGGTGAAGAGGATTTTGAATGTTGTCTTTTTTTTGTTTTGTTTTTTTGTTAATCATTCTGAGAGTTAATGAATGAATGAATCTGTAGTTTAAAAGACACACACACACACACACAAGAGATGATACCAACTTTATGTTCATTTAAAATCAGTCATCAGGTTCTTTCACAACATATCATTTCTTTTATAAATGATATATGGTCTTTTCTTTCTTTCAAAGAACTCAGAGTGGTAAACTATGAGTGTCGATTATGCATACACTGAACACCTGCCAACATTTACACTTTAACCTATCATCATCAAGGCTCTTTCATTTACCACTGACCAAACATAATATATCACATACAGACTCAATCACCACATAAAATGAAGAAAAATTGGGTGAAGAATATTTATTTTTCCTAACTATTATATATCCTTCCAAAGAACAAATTCAAAAGCTAGCAATGTGAATAGCATGAACCTAACACTTTAGAAGCATAAAGTACGGTCTTTCAACGAAATACAATAATGATTTAAGGGTCCTTGTCAGTGATATGGCCAAATATTCTATAATCAAGGAAACTTGAAAATCAAAATATATACTCAATAAACTGATTGAACTGTTTACTAGAGTAAAAAAAAAAAAAAAAAAAAAAAGTATATATGTACACAGTTTAAGTAAATATATAAATAAACTTCATATATATATATATATATATATATATATATATATATATATATATATATATATATATATATATATATATATGTATGTATATATACACATATTTACATATACATATATACACAAATTATATATTCATATCTATTTTATATATACATAAAAAGATTTCATATAAGAGAAGGCCATACCACATGCAAGAAATGTCATGCTAGGGCTTGTGGGTAAAAAAAATATATATATAAATAAATAAAAGAAGTACAGAGTCCCTACTCCGTTACTTTTAAGTCGGTGAGCAGAAAGCCTTTGAAGATTTAACGAGAACAAAAGGACTGAGAACTCAAGAATGAGGCTATGTTTAAAAAATACATGCAAAAGAAATTTTATAGCACAGTTGCCTTTTTTGTTTTGTAATTTTTAATGCAAGACAGTGACATCTGAGAAGACTATCCTAATATACAAAATGTACATCGTGGAATGTCAATTGCAAATGGCATTTCTTTCTCTCACTTTTGAAATTTGAACCTATTGAAGAAACAAGAGATCTAAAAATAATAATAATAAAATAGAATGCTGATAATGAAAACAAAGAAAAGTGAACAAAGGTGAATCTAAACTTGTGTAAGAAACAAGTAAAAAGTGAAATAAACAGCCAACTGAATTTCAGAATAAGAAAAATATACAGACTAAAAGACCAGAAAATGCCATCAAACATTGCAATCAACACACTCACCGTTTTATTTTGCAGAGCGAGGAGTTGGTAATCCTCATCCACCCCCCCAAGCTTGTCTCTCAAATGATCGCGTTCCTCCTTCAGGGACTCTAACTCCTCTCGGAGGCTCTCCAGTTTCTCAGCTATTAGTGGTCCATCCTGCCAAACAAACAAGAATGTGAAATGCAACCCACATCTGCCTCATTGCCTTGATTTCTGTATCTCTCTCAGAACCCCCTTTCTCTGTCAAGTTCTAATAAACTATTCAATCCATCTTACTTTGAAATCTAATCTGGGTATATCAGTAGATGTATGTTTCAATAGTATTACACAGAGAAAGATATATAACAAAAATGGTTGGCATATGGAAATACTCTTACTTTTTCACACCAACAAAATTGTGTGTAAACCTGAGCTCAAAATAACTCAACACTAGTATTTATCACTTACATTCAGGGTAGGTGTAACAACTCCATCCACACGATTAGGTCTGGAGTCATCTGCACTCTTCCCAGTCTCTCCCTCCAGTGCCTGTTGCAGGGCTCTCTCTCGCTCCTGCAACGTGGTGCACTGTTGTTGTGTCTGGGACAGCTCCTCCTGCAGTTTCTTAACCATGTCCTTCAATGTGTTAATTTCCTGTTCCTTTGTTTCTGTTCCAACAACAGGAGTAGCCTGACTGGGATGGCCATTAGGGATATCGCTCCTCTCCATGACCTCAGTGGCCTCGGCCGGCTCCTCAGTGGAGCCCTGTTGGCCGTCGCTTTCCGTAAGTGTTTCGGCTCGTGATACGTCACTGGGGAGGCCAGGTGCTCGTGGAGAAGGGGGGATGATGAGGGGGGTTGTTGGAGTGGACTGACTCATCCTCTCCTCCAGCCCAATTATCCGAACCTTCAGCGACTCTGCCTCCTGGACGGTAAGACTGGCTAGCTCTTCAGCTTTGTTTAATTTTTCTGTTGATCACAATTGCAGTTAGAGTGTTAGTTACATATGTATCATAATTTTAGAGTGCAATTTCATATACAGTGCATCATACATAGATAAGGATTGTGCTGAAAGAGAGGTCTTGCTATCAAAATTTCACATGAATCCTCCAGTATTACAACGATTGTATCCACTATTATTTCTCTTCTGAATTCCGTAATAAATCTAGAACATTCTAAATATACTATAAACATAAGGAACAATAAAAAGTGAAATAAACATCCACTTGAATTTCAGAATATGAAAAATTTACAAACTAAAAGACCAGAAAAAGCCATCGAACAACATCCCCGAGAGCTCCAAAATACAAGAATACAGCAAAAGACAAAGGCCTTATACTGAGCTTACTTCGAAGAAGATGTGCTTCTTCCTGGGCAGCCTGAACTTTATCCTGTTCTTCTTTTAGCTTTGCTGTGAGAGTAGAGAGGTGAGCCTGAACCTCCTTAGCTGAATCCTCCATACGACTGACTTGGTTCTGTAGTGATGCTACCATCTTCACTTTCTCACTCATCAAAGCCTCACTTGCCTGAAAGAATAATTTTTTTTACAATTCCACAGAATTTATATAATGTTTTCTACATAATAAATCTTTGTAAAGTACTTAATTCACTCACTGAAAAAACAAAAAAAAAGGAAAACATGAAAAACGTCCTTTACAACATTTCTACAGTGACAACAATACTTACTGCCAACTGTTGTCGAAGGTTGGATGCCTCATGGGATGCAGTTATGGCCGCAGTTGAGGCCTGGGCTAATTCCTCTCTGATACGAGCTGCTTCTTTATCACTTGCTTCTTGTGTAACTCGACTTGCATCAAGAAGTGCTGTATATAAGAATACAAATATTTACTATGCAATGTAATATCTGATATCCTGTTATGTTTGACCTAAAAAAAAATTATGTTTGCAAATAGGCAAATTCTCTATACACAATCATTCCACCATGTACTTGGTGTGCCTTCTGAAACTCAACACCTTGCAACAGCAACAATCAACTATTCTCACAGATTTTATCCTGGTTCTTATAATGCAAGATAGGAATAGTACCAAATTTGGGTGCTTAAAATAAACTTAGGGGAACAAGCCCATAACCCCACATCCCTAAATCACAACCGACAAGAGATAAGTAGGAACAATGCTACTATCATTTGCAATATAATATATCATGCAGGTATGCTGACCACATAATCATAGACATAAGATGAAAATATCCATAACAGCACATGCCTTGAAGTCTGAGAATGTCTGAGCGCAGTAGTGATTCTTGGATGATTCCTTCCTTGCTTTCCTCCTCTTTCTCTTCTTCCTCCTCAACTGTGCCATTCACATTTGATTCCTGAAAATGGTATACATATTTCTATGTAGCTTGCAAAGACAGACTCTAATTTCATCAAATCTTGAGCTCATTACTCTCTTATTTACTAACCTGCTAACCACAAAGTAAAAAAAGAAATATTTATATAGAACATAAAATCTTGAATTTGAATGTCTCCTCAGTATATAACATTTCCATGCCATCTTCCCATTTAAAAATCATATTTACCCAGAAAGTATGAATAGCACTGTATGGCACAAAACACTTACCTTGCAAGATTCCTTAGTGGGGATGATGGTGAGGGTCGTGTCGGCATCCTGCGTAATCTCACCAATGTCGTTGGACTCCTTGTCTTTGGTGTCCTCTCCATCATCCTCGTTCAATTTGTTTTTATTCTGAGATTATAAAAAAAAAAAAAGTTAATGAAGAAAGCTGTACTTAATGAATGTATATAAGTAGTCTATAACACGTCAATAAATAATTTCATCCTTTCGATTAATCTCCAGTGATTATTATTCTTATGTCAGCACTACTAAGATTACATCCGACTCCTATGATGACTGCAAAGTGTACTCAGTGCACTTTTTACAATTTCCTAATAAGCATATAGTAATTCATCTTTTCAAAATAAAGATAGAGGACATTTAAATGAAAAAATAAAATCTGGCAACTTCTTAAAAAGCAATTTTAATGCATATATTCACACAAATGAATATATCATGGAGGCAGCTCATGAGTATAAATCAGCACTAGAGTTTCATATCCTAAGCAGCGAGGCAAAAACACTGTGGTAATCAACAATATGGCACAAAGAATGTAACTAAGTATTCCCAGAGTTACCGAGGGAATCATCCACATAAATAAACCAAAAGACACTCATCCATAATCCCCAAATGATAAAATATTCCAAACGCAAGAAAAAGATCAAAAGGGAGGCAATAGGAGGAGGAGGTAAAGCTGAAAGAAAGTCAATACTCAATAACGAAAAAGACACTCACCTTCTTTTTCCTCACTAACGTATCCTCATAGATATCATCATAGATCTTGACTTTGTGTGACTCTCCCTCATACATCCGCAAACGATCTTCCAGGGCAACGATCTGAGACTGCAGGTGTTCAGTCAGGGCTGTGCTTGCTGCGCTTTTTGCCTTGTTTTCCGAGAGCTCCTCTGTGGGTCACAGATTTAAAATGAGTCGCTGATATACATTACTATGAGTGATAAAACTGTGTCAATCTCCTGAGGGAAAAAGCAAGTTTTAATAATACAAAAAAGAATAGACTTATTGTAAAGATTACGGATGCAATAAGGCTTTGTTTCCTCTGGACTGTTTTGATATCAAAATCACAGCAGCAGACTTTATATTCATAAAATTGGTCAAATTCAGAACAAAATCAAAGCTGGGGTTCAAGACATAATTATCTTACAAGAAAAAAGGGACTTTAAATGAACTATAAATTCTTAGGTGTCAGATCATGCCATGTGCAGACAGTACTACACCAATTTTATAATTTGGATATTGTTTAATCAAACTAATATACATTTTCAATAATTAGTATTGATTTTGATCAAAGGCATGTGTGAGAAAAGCATTCTTTATTTGTAATCAATCTACTTTACTTTAATTATGTAAAATTTATAGTCTGAACATTAAATTGATATACACAGGCTTATAATTTCATAAGAAATATGCACATTTTAAGTAATTTAAATTTTATAACTGCCTCGGCTGAAGCTCCGAGAGCCACTAATTCTTATGTGCAAAATAAAGACAGGAAGAGTTATTTAGCACCGTTAACAAATGTTTCTGTTCACTTCTTGGCATTTGTAGAAGTTAAGGTCATCAAATGCAAGGGTAACCATGCAAAAATAAGGCATTACATTTTAAGAATAAAACAGGCATTGCAATCATATTACATGCTGTATAAGAAAACACTAGGTAACCAAAACCCCTAATTTATAGAACAATTTTGTTGATTTAAAACAGGAAAAAACAAATCATTTTTCTTTATTTCCTGAATAACAAATTCAAGAATTTGACTAATCAATCACCTTTGCTTTTATGAAAACAATTTAAATGGACTCTGTATAATAAAATAACACCATTCTTTTCTAATCTCCTATAATCTTACAAAAATCCCTTAAAATAAACTCTCATGATTATTCTTGGGATACTGAACAAATCCAAGCTATACAAAATAAAAGCAGCAAATATCAAAAGTAATACACATAGAAAAAAACAGAAATCTCTGAAGGAAAGCTTAGAGAGAGGACTTACCCTGGAGGCGAGCACGCGTGCTCAAGCATCCAACCTCTGCACTGTCCGCCAGCTCTGCCTCATCTATGGTAGACAGACACCAATGTCCGTCAGCATTACGATCATCAGCAAGGGGGTTGAAATGAGTAAGTTATCACAGTTGCAAGCACCAGGCTCTGGTGGTGAGCCACATACACTCACACATACACTACTTACAAGTACAGTACACACACGAGTTTACCATGCAGCATTCACAAGAAAATCAAAAGGACTCGAACTTGAAACTGTGTAACACAAGAGAATGTGTATGAAAGACTGCTATTGTCATAACTCAAATGCTGGGAGGTGGGCCTCATAATGAGGAAATTCCCAAGGTTCCAGAATGCTTTGGTAAGTTGTACTCTACTGCAACACAACCTTCAAGGCCAGTTCTCATGCAAACTCTCCAAAATTAACAGGCACTGTGAGTAGGCCAAGGCACAGGAATACACTGTACACTGTAACCAAGTCATTGAACTTGTTTCACGGTTAGCCTAAGTGTTATGGTGGTCACAGTAATAAGATGGTTTTGTTGTGTCAGAGGAGATATCATGAGAATCTATCATACACACCACTTTCAAAAGCCTTGCATATGTATGTGCATTTAAACAATAATAATTATTAACAAGAATGTCTATAGTTTTAAATGTTATAAAGACTAATATTGGATTTCTGATAATCAAGAATAATTACAAGTTTAATATATACACATTTCAAATAATACTTCAATTTTTATGTATATAAAAAATATAAAATTAAGGTAAAATAGTACAAATGAAGATTTCAACAACTTGTAAAAAAAATTATAATGCAAGCATCCTCAACTTCTCAGTCACACATTCCTTGATTTGAAAAGTGACTGAATTATTTTGCTTTGAAAAATGATTACTGTACTTGTCTTTAGCATAATATCTTTTACATCTTTGAATCACACTGCAAACAGAATGGTATGCCAAAAGTATGATATAAATAGAACAATAAAATTGCCAAACAAAATGACAATAACAAAGATACCAGGGTTATATATATCTGCAATACATTAATAAAATTGCATGGACTTCTGAGACGCCTTAGAGCATGAAGGACTATAAAAAATCCCTAGGAAAAATAAGCAAGGATATCAATTATAAAAGACTCAGAGAACATGAAATGTCAGTTTCTTCTTGTTGGTGAAATTGTCTAAGTAAAGAGAACCCGATCAATTTTTGTTTTAAATGCTCTTTGGTTTTTGTTAATCTCTGTTATCCAAGTCTGTAAAAGCACACAATTAATTCAATATGCTTTGTTAATCTATTACTACTGCTACGAAAAACAAGTTTGCTTTTTTAAATAACTAGACAAATTCATACACCTGTCTCAAAAGGTTAAAAAGAAACAAAATCACGTAACTAAAGGTTTTTACGGAAAAATTGAAAAAAATAAAAATAAATAATAATAATAAATCTAGATGAGGTATGGTGCGCGCCATGCCTGTAAGTCTAAAGAACCCCCTCCCCCCTACTTTCTGACCCCTAAGATACTTGAATGTCCCTCCCCTACACGGACATTTCTCCGTCCCTCTTCCCACAATTACTACTCACGTTTGAGCTGCGATACGTTCGCTTCCGTTTGCCTGAGTTCATCCTGAGCAATTTGGAGTCGGTCCTTGAGGGTGAAGATCTCCCTCTGGGAAGTCTCAAGAGCTTGCTTCACATCAGCAGACTCGAAGCTTATATTGTCTAGACCTGCAGGGAAGTGGCCTTTATGAAGTACGATACATAGGTATCATCTTGGGAACATCATATGATTTTCATTCTGCTGCTACTTGTATGCAAATGTATAAGGACAAGCTACTGAAAACTTTAAAATTTATTCTAATAAACAGCAGCAAAACTTTTGAATACCATTAAAGAGATAATCAATATTTCTACTAATACCAACACAATACTTTTGATAAAACTGTCTAATACTATTGAATTTACCTGAGGAATCCTTTACAGGCTTAATAAGTCCACTTATCTCACCATTCTTAATATTTTCATATTTAGCTTTCATGGCACTTAATTGCTCTTTCGTAAAGTCACTTTCTGCTGTTAAACTTTCTATTCTAGCTAATAATTTGTTTTCATCATTATTCTTTTCTAGCAACTTATTTTCCAGTTCCTTCTTCTCTTGTTCAAAATTCTCCTCCACATCCTTCAACTGATCTTCAGCTGCCTGTAAACAAAAATTTAAAAAAATAATAACAATATCAAATCAATATAAAGACTCAGAGAACATGAAATGAATGGATTATCCTACCACATTTAAAATCATCTTAAATACAACGAAAATTCTAATTTGACAAAACAGCAGCTATCTGAAAGTTTGTATACTTATCAATTCTCTTTTCACTTTTCCGGGAAAATACCTTTAGTTTTTCAGTAAGCTGGGCAATCTGCTCGTTTTGGGTCGTCTGCTTCTCCAACAGCTCCTGAAGCTCCTTCTGTGTTGTCTCACATAGGTCTTTCATGTGACTCAATTCGTCCTCAGATGTACTTAGTGTCCTAATGGGTAAGTGAAGCCAATGTTAATTACAAATATTTCTGGATAGTAAAACTTGACTAATTAATATTCTTTACACTTAGTAATAAAGAGCATAAACTGCCATTATAACTCCATTTTTCAACATGTCCTTGTTAATTATGAAAGGATGAGATCATTAGGCAACTGCTAGACAAATCTTCTCATAGTTCACAACATACCACTACCTTACTGTTCAGTATGAGTCAATATCCTGGGGCCTTATATATTAATCTCATTTTTCTAAATATGGGAATATGAATATGTATCATCAAAAGAGCCTGAAATTCTTGAGCTCATAAAGTGTTCATTTTCATTTTGGCCAAGTTGAGAAAGCTCTAATTATAGTATCTCCCATATATTAAATACTACTATATATTTTATAAGACATAATACAAAGCTCAAATGAAAGTAGTAATATGATATCTAATTCAGTACTTCTCCAATGCACTCTCTTCACCTTTCTAAATCTGCCAACTTGGTGACTGCGTCCAACTTCTCCTGCAAAACCCGTCGTAATGATTCTTTGGCAGTTGTCTCATACTGGTCCTTCTCGTCCAGTAATCGTCGCATTTCTTCCCTAACACTATCTTCAGGGTAATTCTGCCGGGAGATGAACATTCAAGCATATTAGAAGAAGAAGAAGAAAAAAAGGGAAACTTGTGTAAACTTTCACCACTATTCACATCCTTAAATTTCCTTATATGCAACTTTAAAACTCTTTTTATACATTTAAGTTAATAATAATTTACATCATTTAGTCTTACAAGCCCATGTACTCGTTGAATTCCATACAAAAATCTAATAACCTTCAGTATTTTTTTTCAGAGATCATTTATCGTTTTAAGAGACCCACTTCAGCAAATTCAATTGCCAGCATAATGTTCTTGTAATTACAGCAGCATTACTTCCTTTCAAATTTAAAGATACATTGGTTGTAATTTATTATCTTTTACAAAACAAAATCTTTCTCTAGACATAGAAAAAAAATGAGTATGCGATATCTGTGATCATCTATTTGCAATACATTTCCTGGGAGGACAGATGTTATTTAAGCTGTCATGAGCTGTGCCATGAATACCACTGCTTTATTGCATACCTTGGAGTATGTGGTAAGTTGAGCTTCTAAGGTTTCTAGTCGTTGCAGTAACCGATCTTCGTCAATCATGGCATTCCAGCTCTGTGTAGCAGCTTCCTGTAAACAGATGTCCAAGTACTTTATTAATAAACAGATGTCCAAGTACTTTATTAATATACTTCTTTTTTAAAGGAAAAATCCACAGAAAATCATTTATATTTTCAAATATATCACATATACACCTGCATTTTTCAGAATATGTGTCCCAAATCTGGGTCTTACTGGGAGAGATGTTCTTTTAAATACAAACCTGAGTAGAAGACACCAATCGTTGCAAAGTAGCCAATTTCGTCTCAATCTGTTGTTCACGGTGAGTTGCTTCTTGGAGATACGTTCGTAACTGGTACAGTTCCTGTGCTGAGACACTGGTGACTGCTCCACCTACTGCAGTTGAAGGGCTGGAAAAGGCAAAATTTTTACGTGAGGCATAAAAATTCACATTACAAGACTTGGAGATAAATCTACACATCTTTAATTACTGTATAACTAACACTCATTTCAAGGTGTCAACCAACTATTTCTCTACGAACAGGAATGTCTTACCTGGCCTTAGCCTCCTGACCATCTGGCATATATAGTTTCAGGGTTGCAACTATACATCCATGTGTCACTGAGGACAGAAGACAAAAGAGTTATGTCTGGTGCGGATGTTCATCCTTCTAATATAAACAAACATGAGTCTTTCTGCTCAAAATGTACTTGTGTAAATTAAATATAGATACAATCAGTATAGCAAATCAATAAAACTCAGGAGAAATAAAGGGGTGAAGTGCACTTACCCTTCCTAGAGTTCTCCATGACGTCAACACCGAACTGTACAATATCCCCCGAGCAGACTTCTCTTGGGGCAGACTCCTCAGAACCTTTGCTAAGCCTCTGGTTGTTGACAAATGTGCCATTGCTGCTCTTTGTGTCTTGCAGGTAGAACTAAAAAACAGGAAACAGGTTAAACATTGTATAACATGCCATTAAGTTAAGCCTAACTACCGCATGCCTCCGACAAAAATTCCAAACCTAAAAATGTGAAATATAAGCCTCTTTCTCACACAGAACAGCTTCCAATTATTTACTGACTGAAAATAAAATCCTTGCAACTCATATAAACTGCAAATAAACTTATCTATCTAAATGGGCTTTTTGAATAATTAAGCTGCTTCCTATACATAAAAGAGCCAATTGATCCCCCCCCCACCCACCCACTGAAAGTCATTTTGAAAAATGAGATTTACCCTGTGCAGATTTACTTAATACACCACCCTCACATAACCATATACAGTACACTTATTTTTTTTTTTTTTTTTAATATCTACCTTCAATTCACCAAGTGTGAATATACAATGCATATTTGATGTCTCAAAAAAAAAAAAAAAAAACTTTTGAACAACATGATTACAGCTCCATTCCATATCGAAGACTTGCATATTGCCCATTTATTTTTAAAAAATCAATCAAAAACAAATAAATAAAATCAAGACTACACTTACCTCCCAAACATAAATCACAACAACCAGAGCCCCCACTACTATGACTGTTTACCACCTATGATGATGATCATAATAAAAACAAATACAACAACAACAATACTATCAAAAACAACAACAATAATTCTCGCCACCTTCCTGGCCCTTGCAACTCACCTTCCCATTCTCATACCAGAGCACGGCATGGTTCCTGGAGAGCACCTTGCAGTCGAAGATGGCATTGTTGGTTGCTGGCCGGTTGCGGGCCACCGATCGTCCAATCTTCACCGGTTGGTCAAGGACTAACGTTCTCTCCTGAGGCGGGAAAGAGAAGAAAAAACGTTTTAGTCATATTGCACGTCAAAATACACCGATTTACTGAAAATGCTGATATAGATTCATTAACTAATTTATTCATTTAAGAGGGTTTTTTTCTGCGTCACCATCCAAGCTCATTCGTTTCGCTAAGGAGGTATCGTTATTCTGTAACGTTAAATTATGAATATGTTGAATATTCCTGCCAATCATCCTCGTGGACTTCACGTGAAGATTTTGCTCTAAAGGTAATTAGTATTTAGGAGACATCATAAGAGGCTTGATATGAATTCACTGCTACTACAAACCTACATAATTGCACCTCCCCTTAATAATACTAATACTACTAATAATAAAAATGGAACGTGAAAAAATAATAAAAATAAAAATGAAAGGATTAGTATTTTTGACAGCCACATTAACCGTAACTGCTCGCTCATGTAACCACCTGAGTCACTACATTAGAGAGAGAAAAAATATGAACCGGGGGGAAAGGTAAGAAGAGAGGACAGAGGCAAGAAGAAGAAGAGAGAATGGAGAAGAGAAGGTAAAAGATGCATACATCCAAGGAAAGGAAATAGAAAGAAACGATAACTAAAATAACAACAACAATAATGATAACAACAATAACCAGCACGCGAAAAATAAGAAAAGAACCCCCCACACCACCCACCAAACACACAAAAATAAAACAAGAACACACACAACACAAAACAAACAAAAAGCCCAACACAAACAACAACAACAACGACAACAAAAACCAAACAAGCACCACCGAAACACGAAGCTGCAACCGAAGTCCGCGTAGCCTGACACCGTACCATGATCCTGGACACAATAGCCTGGTCACTAAGTACCCTCCTGGCCCCATGCCAACATCTCCGACGTCGACGTTTGCTCCACTTTCAAAACACGAAAGCATGAACGGCTGAACGCTGCCCCGGTCTCATCTACCTGTCAATCTTATCTATCCATCAATCATCTCATCTCATGCGTGTATCTATTTACCTCTCAATCTCTCTCTCTCTCTCTCTCTCTCTCTCTCTCTCTCTCTCTCTCTCTCTCTCTCTCTCTCTCTCTCTCTCTCTCTTCTCTCTCTCTCTGTCTCTCTCTCTCTCTCTCTCTCTGCTCTCTCTCTCTCTCTGTCTCTCTGTCTCTGTTCTCTCTCTCTCTCTCTGTCTCTCTCTCTCTCTCTCTCTCTCTCTCTCTCTCTCTCTCTCTCTCTCTCATCGTTTGCCTATCTGTCGATCTGTTTGTCTGGCTCCCATGCGAACTCCTCCCGGGCAGACCACGCAGGTGCCTGTCGCTAATCAAGCACGGGGAGACTGAAAGCACACCGCGCATGCAACAGGAATTCGCCGTCCGTGAGATGCTGTGCGGGCTTCCAAACACACACACACACACACACACACACACACACACACACATATACAGAGAGAGAGAGAGAGAGAGAGAGAGAGAGAGAGAGAGAGAGAGAGAGAGAGAGAGAGAGAGAGAGAGAGAGAGAGAGAGAGAGAGAGAGAGAGAGAGAGAGAGAGAGAGAAAGAGAAAGAGAAAGAGAAGAGAAAGAGAAGAAAAGAGAGAAAGAGAAAGAAAGAGAGAGAAAGAGAAAGAGAAAGAAAGAGAGAGAAAGAAAAAGAAAGAGAGAGAGGGGGGGTAAAGGGAGGTAGGTTGGCCGAAGACACAGGCCCGAAGACGCGATGGCAAAGGACAACCTGGTGACGGCAGATCCTGCACGTTTTGCACCACAATGCAGGCTCTACCCCCCTCCCCCCCTCCCCCCCCCCCTGCCTCCTTCATATCACCCCTCCCCCCTCCTCCCCCCTCATTATCATACTCCTCAACCTCCGCAGCACTACCTGGAACTCTACCTCTGCGAGGACTCCGAAAGCACTGAACAAAATTTCAGGGGAACATTTGGTGTATTAATTCCGTCTCTCATATTTTCTTCCGCTTCAGGCCAGTCCCCTCCCTCCTAATCTTTATCTTCCCTCCCCCCTCTTCCTTCCTTCCTTACTACGCATCGTCAACTCCCACTCATTCATGAGGTATCGCTCGCCTCCCCCCCCCATCCTCGTCACCCACACCTCACCCACCTCAACCTCCCACATCCATCCCCACCTCGTCCACACATCCCTCAACACCCACCCACCCCAGCAGCACCTTAACCGCCACCCATCCAGGTTAACCTCAACACCCACTACCCGCCCACCCCAACCCCCCCACCCCAACTCAATCCTCACCCCACCCCACCCCACCTCCATCCTCACCACCCTGCCCCCCCACCCCAACTCCAACCTCATCCCTACCCTACCCTCCCCCACTCCCCCACCCCAACTCCAATCTCACCCCCCATCCCAACCCCTCCCACCTCAACTCCAACCTCACCCCCACCCCACCCCAGCACTCAGGCACGTGTCTGCTAACCACAAACTTATCTTAACAATTTCCCGACAAGAAGGAAGCAGCTCCTACGCGTCCCACATACTTAAGAGACGAAACGAAGGGCAAAGGAGAATCTGCGGTGACTATAGCCTGTCTATTAGCCTATTTACCGCTTAAAGAAAAGAAGAGAAAAAGGGGAGAGCATAAAAAAAGGAGAACAAAAGAATAGGAAAAGGTTCACGGTGACTATAGCCTGTCTATTAATCTATTTAACGCTTAAAGAAAAAGAAAAAAAAGGAGAGAGAAATGGGAGAGCATAAAAAAGAAGAAAAAAGAATAGTAAAAGGTTCATCTAACATTAAATCTAGGAAAAAAAAACAAGAGGTTTCCCCGACATACCTCACAGAACCAGACCACGCATAGCCTATATAAAGAAGTAGTAGTAACAGTGGTAGTAGTAATAACAATAACAATAACAACAACAACAACAAACAACAACTAACAACAAAAACAACAACAACAACAACAGGAAACGAGGATGGTGTTCTCGCATATCGCTTCTACTGTCACAGGTCGTTCCTGGCGAGCTCAAGCTTTCTTTCGCAGCGGAGCAAGGGAAGGAGGAGGAGGAGAAAGAAGAGAAAGAAGGAAGGGAGGGAAAGGAGCAGAGAGAGGGAGGGAGGAGGAGAGGAGGCGGAGGGAGGGAGGGAGGCGGAGAGAGGGAGGGAAGACGGGAGAGAGGAAGGGAAGAGGAGGAGAAAGAAGAAGAAGAAGAAGAAGAAGAAGAAAAGAAGAAGAAGATGGAGGAGGAGGAGAAAGGAGGAGGAGCGTCAAGTGTCGTCCTTAGCGAGGTGACACAAGCAAGTTCTCTTGCATGCAGCGCAGTTGGAGCTCTCTGAGGTTATTGCGTTCCGTGGGCGTTTTGTACCGCGCTTGTGGGCAGATGACGCTTTCATCATTATCATAAAACGATAAATAAGGGTAATAATAATGATAATGATGATAATAATAATATCAATAAAAATAATAACATGAATAAGGATAATGATAACAAATATAAATAAGAATAATGATAATAATAGTGATAATAGTAATAGTAGTAGTAATAATATTCATTTACATCATACCATGATATCATCATAATAAAATAATAATAACAGCAACACTAATGGTATCAACCAAGAGAAATAACCATCACAGTGATAATAACAATAACAAGGTACGATGAATCTAAAAATACGAAGAGTAATAATGATAATAATAGTAACCCCACCACAGCATCCATAGAAAACGGGACACCACCCTCCTGACAAATTCCTATTTTCAACCAACTCTGTTCCAAAATAGAGATTTATTCAGATAAGCAACAAAGGCTTTTTTTTTTAAACCACCGCTTGTTATCGTCGCTCCATTCCACATACACCTGCCGTTTGCACAAGTTTCCCGTAATGGAACAAAATGGAAAATACTCCGACACGAATTCAAAACCCGACATAATGGATAACCGTCCCGTGTTTTACAACGATTTTAAATGATCTGATTTTTTTTCCTACTGCGAAATTACTCTCTACTACGGATATACCTGCGTCCGGATAAGAGAGGAGTGCACAGGGTGGATTCTAAGTGGAATCTATGTGGATCGGTGGGTGGATACAGCGTGGGCGATTAAAAAGAAAGTGGAGTCTGGTGGAGGTCTGGTAGATAAGCCTATATCCGAAAGATGGATGTGATGTGGATACGGTTAGACGATCGCCAACAAATGGAGAAAAAAATATTGCACTGAATCTAAAACTAATCAAAGACATGAAAGCTAAACAAAAACAAAAAAAAGCAAAGGGACGAAATAAATAAATGCATAAACAAACACACAAATAAATAAAACGCTCATGACAACAAGCAAGACTTTCAAGTTCAGCATCTGTCAAGGAGGGGCAGGGGGTGGGTGGGGGTGGGGGAGGGGGGGAGAATCTTCAAGCACCCAAGTTTTACGGAGATTATGCACACGGCCGTCTTGATCCCATTTCTCACCTGCTTGCATTGTTCGCGACGCACGCCAACAATACCTCGACCTCCCTCCCCTCCCCCCCTACCTCTCGTCCCCCCCCCGTCCCTTCCGCTCCTTGGCGACCTTGACTTCTCTTGATCTTTTCGTTGTTTTCGTCAATCAACATTTTTTAAACAAAAACAACTTTCACTCAAACTATATATATGTACATGTATATGTGTATATATATATATATTATATTATATATATATATATATATATATATATATATATATATATATATATATATTATATATATACATATAAACACCTGTCACCGCATGCCTACCCGTAACAAAAATAGATCACATCACTCTTCGGGATCTATCGAAATCCGCCCATTAAATCCACGCCTCTCTCTCTCTCCCTCACTCCCTCCCTCCCTCTCTCTAGATTCCTCTTCCACGCCCATTCCTCCCGTATCGACGCCCACGGCCATTCAATTCCTCTACCAGAATCCAATCTATTAACCAGAGGGGTGTATTTGGAGCGCCGCCCGTTGTGTAAAATCCCCGCGTCCTAATCCCTTCCCCGAGAGAGACACACGGCGTCACAGCATCCGGCACTCGGCTCTCCTTGCCTGGCCTAATCTCCCGAAAGCGCAGGACAGGATGCTTGCTACGATTACATGAATAAAAAAATAAAAAAAAAAAAAAAAAAAGAAGAAAAAAAAAAAAAAAAAAAATGATAATAAACCCCGACGAAGAAAAAAAAAAAAAAAATACAACACTGGCACCTCGAGTATACACCTGTGCCTCGTGCCTGTGTGGAGACGACACAGCGCTTAAATCCCCTGGGGGCGCGATGCAACGGGGTGGGGGGGGTGGGGATTGGAGTAGGGGGAGGGTCAGGGAGGGGAAGCCTTGGGGGGGGGGGGATGACGTGGGCGGCCAGTAAGGGGGTGGGGAGACGAGGAATGGTGTGGGAGTAGGGTAGGGGGTAACAGGGAGATGATAGGAGGGGGAGGTAGAATGGGATCAAGGGCGGGGGTAGACGGAGAGGAGGGGCGTGTGGGGGGGGGGGGAGACATACAACACGAGGGGAGTAGAAGGAAGAGGGATAGGATGAGGGTCGCGGGGTGGAGGAGGAGGGAGTGGGGGTGGGGGTTGAGTGCTCGAGGTCACGGACAAGGTGTGAAGCTGCTCACAGGGAAGGCGACAGGTGGGCTGTGGGCGGCTACCGGGCGGGGAAGAGAGGAGGAGGAGGAAGAGGCGAAGAGAAAGGCAGTGAGGAGGAGGGGAAGGGGTGGAGAGAGAGAGAGAGACGGAGAAGGGGAGCGACGGAAGACCCTGGGGGAGACACTGGGAGGCACTGGGGAGGAAAGGGGGAGGGAGGAAGGGAGGGGGGAGGGAAAGGAAGGGAGGAGGGGGAGGAGAGATAAAAGAGGCACTATGGGGCGGAGGGGGGGACAGAGATACAGAGAGTGAAGGGAAGGGGGGGGGGGGGGGAGGTAAAGAAAAACAAGGGTAAAGAGAAAACCTCAAGCTCCTTAAGAATGCTTCCGACGCCAAACCTCGCGGAAAGGGTTAGGGCGTGTGCGCGTAGGTGGGAGTGGGATGGGGGGCGGGGGGAGTGTTGTTCCTGGCAGGGAGGGAGAAGGGAGGAGGTGCTTCTGGCAGGGGGGGGGGCGAAAGGGAAGTGCTTCTGCTGGCAGGGGGCAAGAAAGAAAGGCAGGGGGGTGGGGGGGTTGTTCCTAGCACGTGGTTAGAAGGGAAGACGGGAAGGTAAGGAGCTTCCCTAAGGACAGAGGGAACGACAGGGGAGGGAGCGTCCCTGGCAGGGGAGCAAGGGCGAGGAGTGGGAGGGAATACTCCTTCCGTGGGGGATTAAGGAGACATTCCCGAAAAAGGGGTAAAAGGGGGTAGCAGGGAGAGAAAACCGTCCATAGCAAAAGGGTGGGAGTGGGGGTGGGGTGAAGCAGGGGAGAGGGTGGGGGTGGGAGGCGTCCCTGGCAGGTGGTCCCGGCGTGTCGGCGCTCGGCAAACATTTCCTCATTCTTACGCTGCCTGCTCCCCCCCCCCCGTTTTTTTCATCCGCCCCACCCCCCAACCCCCTCCCCCTCCCGTGCTTGCTGCAAAGTCCGGTTTTGGCCGCATGACTCATACTTAATTCATACCAGATCGGTGTACCCGCCGAGTACCTGTCTCCTCCTTCCCCGCCCCCGCCCCCCCCATCCACTCCCCAGGGTATTCACACGAGGAGGAAACTAAAACCAGCCCGAAACAAATGGCTGAACTTCACCAACTTAAAACCCAATTCGTCCCCAGGTTAAAAAAACGGACCAAGAGCGATGTCACAACGATATTCCCACGGCTGGATTTCCTCCATATCACCACCACCGCCACCATCCTCATCACCACCACCACCATCCTCCTCCTCCTCACCACCACCACCATCATCATTTCTTTCACCATCACCACCATCCATTATAATCATCATTCATCACCATCCATCACCACCACCC